TTCCTTCCTTCCTTCCTTCCTTCCTTCCTTCCTTCCTTCCCCAGCTCTCAGAAGAAATCCCAAGATCCCCTGACTTAATATAACAACCTGACAACACAGCACCCCACTACTACAAATACAATTTATAATTATAACAGTATCATTGTAATTATACAATGATTTGGTGAACAAGACAACCCACCCCCTCGAATCAGAAAATCCAATCTAAATCAAGTCATTTACCCTAAACCCACCCAAACAAAATGTGGCAGCCTCATGGAAAGCCAACAGGTAAAGGATCAGGTGAACTCTGGAAGAAAGGAATTCTACAATATTCAGGCCATCACAAAGAATTACCTTTGGGTTCATGTCTCCCTGATCTGTCTCAGGGATAGGACCTGTACTTCCCCTTTCTGGAGGCATGCATGGGATTGACAGTCCCTAAATTACCCTGGGGCCAAGCCGTAAAGAGATTTATAATTTAAATTAGCACAATGAATTGAATTTCCATGGGTAATCAATGCAGTAACTGCAAAACAAATCATATATTACAGTAGCACAATAATATATCACTAACAGCCTAATCACTGCATTTTGTACCAACTGTAGTTTCTGAGCAATCTTCAAAGGCAGTCCCATGTGGAGCACCTTATAGTAGCCTAACCATAAGGTGATGAGCCATTGTTACAAGGTTCTCTCAATCCAGGCAGGGCTGTGACACACACCACAGCTTAGCTTTGGCAAGGAATCTTCTAGCCACAGGCTAGCTATAGACCAGCTGCTTTGGGGGAGTACCACTCCATCCAGAGGGATAACTGGATCAAGGCTAGCAACTTTGTCTTGCTTCAATCTGGGCAACATGGCTATTGAAGGACCTGAAACCTATGAGAGTATATCTCAGAAAGTGTGACATCCCTGTGTTAGCTCAATCAAGTTTCAGGAATACATGCCATGTCTGCCTGTTCATGCACCACCATATCATGTATGGATGTGATCTTATTTCAGATGGACTTGGCATTAACCAAAAACAATCTAAAGCCAGCATATCCAGCAAGTTGGCTCCCAGATCCTAGAGGGGATGCTGGATTAATGGGGCCTACAACAAACTGATGGTTTTTCTTCTTCTGTAATTGCATAGCCAGTGCCTTCTGTCATTATCTCCCATTGCCCATCATGGCTATATGGCTCCAACCAATATTACTCCCAATTGGCTCACCCAATCTCCCTTCCCTTGTTTCTACCTACTCCCAACACACCCCACCATGCTACCAACAGTCATTAACACTTGGGGGAAGGTAGCACTCTGTAACTGCAAACTAGCTAACTTCCCATGCACTTAATAAACCAGGTAAATGTAAGCTATATGTAAGATACTCGTGCTGTACCTTCAACACCTACACCACAGCCTCAGTCCACATAGCTATCAACTAACACATGCCATTTCAGAGAATCTCATCCAAGAGCCCTATTCCTACTAGAGGCCCTCTCTGGAGTTAGGGAAACTACTGCCTCCTGTACTCTCATTGTGGGGGCAGTATTCATAATCACTCCCCATCTCTCACTTAGGGAGCCTCCACATTCACACCTTTATCAGGTCCAGAAGACCTCCAATGCTAGGAGATCCCCAATGCCATGCTCCAGAACCAGGTGCCACCACATCCCCACACATCTATTGCACATTTGGGACTGCCATGTGCACAGCTGTGATTGCTCCATTGCTGGCTCTTCCCTAATGGCTGTAGGTGACAAGGAAGTGGGATTCTCCACTATGGCTGCTGCCTAAACTGTTGCTCACTTTTTGATTATGATCTTCTATCCCATTTCTAATTCCAACACACTGTTTCCTTCTACTCAATTTCTCA